GGCCCTCATGTGGGATCTGAATTGGGGCCCTGCTGCTCAGAGCTCACACTCCCAAACCAACTTTTAATCAAAGAGCCACTTGGCCAGCCCGGATCATACTTTTTTTTTTTTTATGCTTTTATTTTTTTATCCAGTCTAACAAGTTTCCCTTTTGATTGGATTATTTCGCTCATTTTCATTTAATATTGTTGATATAGTTGGACTTACATGTTCCATTTTACATTTTGTTTTCTATATGGCATATGTCTTTTTTGCTACTCCTTTATTTTACATTAAAAGTTTTCTTTTACATTAAGTGAATATTTTCTAATGTAGCGTCTTAATTTCTTTAATAATTTTTCACTATATATTTTGAGTTATTGTTTTAATAATTGCTGTAGGGTTTACCATATATATCTTAACTTATCAGAAGCAGCTTCAGATTTATACTAGCTGGTTCCAGTGGTATAAGGAAATATTACCCCTACATAGCTCTATTCCCTTCTTCCCCATTTGTGGTATTTTGTATATATATTACATTAATGCATGTTACACACCCAACAATAGATTGTTATAATTATTACTTTGCCATCTGTAGTCATTTTCTTATTCCAATATAGCTTTGCTACCACCTACCTCTTTTTTGTTGGGAAATATATTTCACACATATTCATTTCTTTGTTATAGGCACAAAAATCTATTATATCATTTTATACAATTGCTTTTTTTTTTAAAGATTTTATTAGGGAATTGAGGAAGGGGAACAGTGTTAGGAAATTGGGGAAGGGGAACGGCCAAGTTGTTGTCCTTCAATCTTAGTTGTGGAGGGTGCAGCTAGCTCAGCTCCAAGTCCAGTCGCCATCTGGCTGACCATTGGGCAGCTCAGGGCAGCTCAGCTCAAGGTAGCATGTTCAACTTTAGTTGCAGGTGTGTGTAGCCCACCATCCTGTCAACCTTGTTAGGAGCATGTGCTCTCACCAGCTGAGCCATCCTGTCACCTGTTGGCAGCTCAGCTCAGGCGCAGCTCACTGGCCCATGTGGGAATTGAAGTGGTGATCCTGTTGCTCAGAGCTCATGCTCTTAACCAACTGAGCCACTTGGCCAGTCCCTACAATTGTTTTTTAAATCAGTTAAGAATAGGAGGAAAATATTAATTTATACTGTCTTATAATTGTAGAATTACCTTTTCTGGTTTTTTTTTTTTTGTGTGTGAGCATTTGAATTATTGTCTGGGGTTACTTGTTTTCAGCTTGAAGAATTTCCTTTAGTATTTCTTACACGGCAGGTCTGTTACCACAAATTATCTCAGGTTTTGTTTATTTGGGAAAGTATCTCACCAATCTTATTTTCATAAAGTTGTTTTGCTGCATATAGGATTGTTGGTTGAAAGTTTCTGTTTTTTGCTTTGAGCACTTTGAATTTGTTAACTCATTGCTTTCTGGCCTCTATATTGATTTTGCTGAGAAGTCAGCTATTAATCTTATTGCTATTCACTGATAAGTAATAAGTTGTTTTTCTCTTGCTGCTTTTAAGATTTCTTCTTTGTCTTTGACTTTCAGCATTTTTACTGTATGTATCTGTAGATCTCTTTGCATTTAGCTTAATTGGAATTTGTTAAACTTCTTGGATGTGTAATTTACAGTTTTTCAATACATTTTGGAAGTTTTTAGCCATGATGTCTTTGAATATGTTTTTCTGCTCTATTTGCATGCTCCTCTCCTTCTGACACTCCCATTAAGTACATGTTGGTGTGCTTAATGATGTCCCACATTTCTCTGGGGCTCTCTTCATTTTTCTCTGTTCTTTGCCTTGCATAAAATCTCCATCCATCTTTCTTAAAGTCAATTTATTCTTTCTCCTGCCAGTTCAAGTCTACTCTTGAGCTCCTAATTAAGTTATTTCAGTTATTATACTTTCCAACTCCAGAATTTCTATTTGGCTCATTTTTATAATTTTTCAGTCACATCCCTGCTCTAAGGTGTCTGAATATTTTTTTATTGATATTCTGTATTTGATGTGACATAATCTGTTATCATACCTTCTTTTTCTTCTTTGATCATGCTTTTCTTTAGTTCTGTGAACATGTTTATAATGGCTATTGAATGCTTTTTCCGATAAATTCAACATCTGGTTTCTCTCACAGGCAGTTTCTGTTGCCTATTACTTTTCCAGTGTATGGGTCATACTTTCCTGTTTACTTGAATGCCTTGTAATTTTTTGTTGAATACTGAACATTTTAGATAATATATTGTAGCAACTCTGGGTACTTGGTTCTTCCCACTCCTCAACCCCCACCCTATTGTTGTTATTTGCTTGTTTATTTGTTACATAGAGGGCTAAATTACTTTAGTGAAGTCTATCCCCACCCCTCATAAATTTCTGATATTGTTATCCTGGTATTATGGTCGTTTTTGGGTGGGGCTCTCTTCCTTTTATTTCCTGACCACACCCAGCTGTTAAACTCCATCAGTTTGCAAACTGATTGCTCTATTATTATTTATTTAAGAGAAGTTTTATAAGAGTTTAGTTAAGCCAAACTGATGACATATGCCAGGCAGCAAGATCTCAAATGCTCCGATTGCTCTATTATTTTCAACAATGTTCTGGCATAATTTGTTCTACAAATGAATCCAATCAAATTGTGGCCCCTTTGAAGCAATAGTTTATGAGGTGAGTGTTTAATATTTGTTCTTACTCCAGGAAGGCTTCCCCCAACTGTTTTTATCTCTGGTTCCCCCTTGCAAATTAGCCAGATTACAATTTAGCCCATATCTTGAAACTCCTCCCAATTGCCTGTCATCACAACCTCCAGGAATTGCAACATGTTCTGTTGCAAATGAAAAGAAGTCAGTTCCTTTGGGAAGAGTTTAAGAGCTATCTGTTTTATGAACTGCTTCTCCCCCCCCCCCAGGCACAATCACTGAACTAGGGCTTTGGAGCAACAGGTGGAACAATATGTTATATTTATTGCACCTGCTCTAGAGGCTAAACTCTAGGTGGAGGAGGGGGTAGCAGCCTGAGATCTTCAGGCTTATCTTTTCTGGCTTGAACCACCTCTTCAGGAGCTAGGGTAAGGGTGATTAGGATACCAGTATTCTCAGCACTCCAACCCAAAGTAAAACCTAAATGTCGATGTAAGAACATCCAAACCTGTGGACAATTTTTATAAAAACTTATTTGAGTCAAATAGAGGGTATGCCTGGAAGCAAGATCACAATAGAGTGAATATTTGGAGAATAACATTTCTTTTATGCATTTGAGATTAAAGAGGGAAGTAAGGAAGATTACATGAAGGTTGGAGAAAGCGAGCTGGGGGCTGGGTTACAGGATAGTTAAGATCATGTGCTCTCTTGAGGTGGTCATGCTTTAGAAGGAGGGGTCAGAGAGGGGGCATTTCAAAGGTGTGTTAACCTAGATGCACAGACACAACAGACAGGTCTTGCTTAAGGCAAAGGTAGGCCTTTTATAATAGTAAAGAGCTTATATGCCTGGGATGTGACTACCCACCATGACCTGCTGAGTTAGGGATTTATGATTTATTACAGCACCACTTTTCCATCCACACTCTGTTCCATGAGTGGGGCTGGATGAAAAAAGCATCCTTCATTTGTCAGCCACACTTATCCAGGACTTGGCCTCAGTATCAGGTAGCTGCAGGCAGGGTGAGAATTGCTGACACTCTGCTCTTCCAATTGGGAGCCATGGGGAGAGGTGGGCCCGTGTTCTCGCTAGCAGCAGTCCAGAGTGTGGATCTGCCTTGCCGAGTTGGGAGGGTAAAGGGAATAAGAGTCTTGGTTGAAAGAATACAGATGCGAGAGTCGAACTGCAATCTTATTGTTAGGAGCACGCGCTCTCACCAGCTGAGCCATCTGGCTGCCCGTAGGCAACTCAGCGGCAGCTCAGCTTGGGCACAGATCACTGGCCCATGTGGGAATCGAACAGGTGACCCTGCTGCTCAGAGCTTGCGCTCTTAACCTACTGAGCCACTCGGCCAGCCCCGTAGATTTTCTTAAATAGATGTTTCTTCATTTGCTGTTTTCTCTTAGGATTATTTCCAAAGCTTTAAAAGGTTGTTTGTTGTTTTAAAATAATTTTCATCAAAACAGAAATAGACTCAGAGATATAGAGAAACAACTGATGGTTGCTAGATGGGAGGGTGGTGGGGATTGGGGAGAAGGTGAAGGGACTAGAAAGTACAAATTGGTAGTCACAAAATAGTCATGGGGATATGAAATACAGTATAGGGAATATAATCAATAATGTTGTAAAGATTATGTAGGATGCCAGATGGATAATGAATGGACTTACCAGGGGGATCACTTCATAGACTGTGTAGATGCCTGACCACTGCACTATACACCTGTAGCTGAAGTAGAATGATATTGAATGTCAACTATAGTTAAATATATATATGTGTGTGTATATCTATCTATCTATCTATCTATATATATTCACAGGATGTAAAGTACAGCATAGGGAATATAGTCAGTGGTATTGTAACAATTATATACAATGTCAGAGGGGTAGTAGATTGGGGGTGGTTTATCACTTTTGTAAGGGGTGTAAATGTCTTAATTATCATGTTGTTTTGTACAGTTGAAACTAATAAAATAAAATAATTTTCATCAGTTGCACTGGGGAGTGGGTCAGCTAAGCTCCTTATGCTGTTATGCCATTAGTCAATCTTTTGTCAACAAAAGTTAGCTGCCAGCAATCTAACACCAACAGGAGTTCCCAATCTGGGGCGTGGAAAAAGGAGAGACTATTCAAGTTAACAGTTTGCAAACTGGGGAGACACAGTCTTCAGTGGAAGGGTAAAAGCACTCACCTGAGACACAGGGAAGACCTGCTTTTTAAAGAGAAAGTGCAAATAAGGAATCTAAATTTGGAGTCTGATTAGTCCAAATAGTACTGGTCAGCTTCGTGTGTTCTGATTGGTTGATATGAAGCCATTCTCAACGTAAATGCAAATGAGGACATAGCTGTGCAGTGTTCCTATTGGAGGGGGCAGGTATCAGTCCATTGGGGTCCAATATGATTTTATAAGGGTGGACTCAAAGGAAAGGAACAGTGCAGGAGGCTGGTAGCTCATTCTGTGGCTTTTCTCTGATATCCACAGTGCATGTGTGGTCTCTGCCAGCAATAGCTGTTAGACTCATGAACTTGAGCCCAATTAACCACAAGGAGTCCTTCTTGGTAGGCATATTCCTTCTCCAAGGTCAATACTCTCTTGGTATTCTTGCAACTTTCCTTTAAGTTTACGTTTGTTTCAAGAAAAGTTAAATGAAAAAAAAATCACAAATAGATTAAAACATAAATAGCTTTTACATTTGCTATTTGTTATTATTCCTATATATCAGTAAAAAACACTAACAGTGTTTGTTCATAACGACAATCAGAACTCCTTTAAACCACCATCCTGAGTTCACAGCGTATTTTACGATCTGGCTGTGGCTAGGAGAGTGTGAGCAATTCAACAGAAAGAGACTCATTGTGGCTGGTGAGTAGGGTGTCTCTGGCCCTAACGCCGTGAATGTCAAGCCAGCAAACTTTTCCTGTGGAGTGAAGTGTTCGCACGAGGCCAGCACAAAGCCACGTAGCACAACGTCCGCCTCCAGGCTTTCGGTTTCCTTTCCTCCATTTTGTTTTCAAGTTTCCGGGAAAGTGAAGCCTGGCAGGCCGCAGCGGGAGGAAGGCCCCACCGTGGACCCGATGGTACGTGCCCGCACTCAATCCTGCTGCTTCGATTTTCCTCAGTCCTTGAGGTCTCTGTCATTGCTGGTTTCCGCGTCAATGTCGCCGCAGGTCCCGAGCGCCGCCTCTCGCGCCCCTGGCCACAGCTCCCGACTGGCACTTTCAGAACTGGGCGGGGGGTGCCCTGCAAGGGTCTGGAGTGCGGTGGGCCTCTGACTGGTGACGCAGTCCAGTAGATTCCTTATATCTGGTTTGCCCACGGGCGCCCGCTGGGGTGGAGCCCCCCGCTCCCGCACCCACTCCCGGCTCCCACCTCCTTGCCCCGCTCTCCTCGCGCCCCGGATTCTCAGGAGGGCTGCCAGAGGCTGTCCGGATCTCAGGGACGGTCCGCGGTGCCCCCGGATGCACCGGACCAAATTACCCCTGGTGGAAAACAAGCCGTGAGCTTCGGTGGCAGGTCGCCAGCATCCTGTAAACTTTGCTGAAGATCATCATGAGAGTTGCTCAGTACCTGGGGTGAACTGTTTACAAACATTTCGCAAGTTTCCTTTTAAAAAGTTGATGAGAAAGAGGAGTTTTTCCTGCTCAGTGTGTGTGCATGTTTGCCTTGATCGGGCAGGGGCAGCCGCCCTGGCGGGACATTTTACTCTCTCGCAATAACTTGGTGAAGTAGGTAGGGCAGGATTATTTCTCGAAGCATTTACATATAATATATTTTGGCAAGTTGCAAGGAAAGCTTGCTGTGGAAAAGTTCAGAATAACTGACTGGTAGATAAATTTATATAAAGCCTTAAAAAAAAAAGTGTTTCTGGCTCCCCTCTCCCTTCAAGAGAACTGGGAAAACGGAAGGTGATTGATTTCAAGTTGTTGCTTTTGGATGGTGTCCAGATTTTAACATGTAAACTGGATTACAGTAGAACAAAGGCCATTGAAATTCAGGCCAAGTTTTTGGTTCAAGACAATAAATAGTAAGTTCAAGGACGTTGAAGGTCTGCCAATGTTTTTATTTGTTGACATTTTAAATTTGTTTACGCAACGAGAGGTGGTGCCAGTAAGAAGGTGCTGACCATACTTGGAATTATTTTGAACACGGACAAACCCGGATGAATAGTCTGAAAGTCAGACCGGGCTCTGACCTGCTTTTGATAAGAAGTTTCAGATAAAAGGAACAACATTTTTTGTATTTTTTTGGTTTTGGTTCCCCTTAGAGGAAGAGAAAAACAACCAAAAACTTGGCTCAATTCCAACAAAACAAAACAAAAGACGAGTTTGGAAGGGAATTTTGAATGTTTTCATTTTTTATTTTACTTGTTTTACTTACAGCTTCTGGGTTGGCGGTCCTGATTAAAATTGGCTTTTTCTAACGACTTCATGTTTTACATTTCTGTTTGTAGCTGGCATTTGCATTCCCTTTAACTATCTTTACACCCTATCTTTCACCCGGTTTCTTAGGTGATCTTAGGTGAATCCACCGGCAGGTCTGCAGGAACTGGGTACCCCTTGCCCCCTGCCTCCTTGGGAGTCTTGTGCGACCGGGGCCGTTGGGAGGATAGTCAAGGGTAGTTTTTGTTTGTTTTAAAGAGCGGTGGCAGGAGGTATTGGAAGCAAAACGAAGGTGTTTTCGTTACTAGGTAGGTCATGCTCACCCGTTGCCGTGAGGTAGTGGGGCACAGCAGCGGCGTCCACTCAGTTACCGCCCTCCGCAGGCAATTTCCCGGAGCTACGCGCAGCCTCCTTGCCTAAACAAGGGAGAATTTATTCAGAGAGACACAGGTGTGTGCACAACCTTGTGGCGTTTTTAAGGTCCAGGCGGAGGGTTCTCAAACCTGAAGTGTCAGGTGAGCCACGCGTTCTGCCGGGGAGCTTGGAGGAGTTTCTCTCGGGTGCTCTGCCCTAAGGGGCTTCCCGACGCCTGCTTACACGAAGCAGCCTCTGACGCTACGTTCAGTTCCTCATCCTGTTTGCAGAATTTCCGACTCTGGTTTTTTGGCGCGGTGGGTCTGATCGTGTTCCACTTGGGTGCGCTCCTTTGCCCCCCGAGATCCAGCTGGAAGCGCCGGCGGCTGCCCCGGAGTGAGTAGACCGAGAACCCTGTTCGCTCCTCTTCTACTTGTGCTGGCGTCGCCCTGGACTCCGGAGCTGCCAGGGGGTACTGTGTCCCGATTTCGGCAGAAAAGGACTGAGTCTCCGACTTTTAGCCCTTTGGCCCTTCTTTGAGCCTCCTAGGGACTCATTCGCAGCACTCCTGTTAGTCACTCGGCGTGTAGCTTTTAAAATTTTCCTGGACTGCATTGATTATTTCTTTCTTGTAGAGCCCCCAAAGCTAATTAAACTCGTGTCACAGAGCTGTCAACGTGTACTCACACTTGTCCTTGCTTTCTTTACTATAAATTAGTGAGGTAAGAAACACTATTATTATTGAAATGCCCTATTTCTCTTTTACATTAAGCTCCTGTCACCACTTCTAGGAAGACTTCACAACCCAAGGTGGGTTCCTTTGCTCTATGCTTGCATATACTCAGTGGCTATTTTTGCAACATACCATAGGATTGCACTTAACACAGTGTTGGCATACTTTTTCTTCAAAAACTTTTCAGTCAAATTGTATTATAATTATTGGCGTTAAAATACATGCGAAAGTAATTAGAGAAAGCCCCCAGGAGTCCATTACCTAAGATAACCAAAGGTTGCTGTGTAGTTTCTTTTTCAGAAATGTGTGCACTCAAATACAGTCTTTTAAATGTTTTTAAAAATATACCGTATATTTTGCTTTATTTTGTATGGTGCTGTTTCTTCAATAGTGTTTCAGAATTACTTTTTTTTTCTTCTGTTAATACTCTGCTTTTCTCACATGTAATTTTACTCTCCTTTGGCAACAGTGTTTCTAATGAAAGATTTTTTTTTCTTTTAATGGCTGCTTTTCTTGTTTTTGAGAATGTGTGTATCAACAATTTACATTTCATGAATCTGCTTGTTCAGATGTCCGAATGTTTTTTCTCCCTCATCAGTTCTGGGTTTAGAGATAATTTCTTCTTTGATCCCATGCACATACAAATTTATATAATATATAATATATACCTATATTCTTGAATCTTTACAGATAAAACTGCTTTCTTTTCTACACTTTGTACCTTGTTCTGTATATGTTTCTTTGATGGTCCCCGCTTTTGGCCCCTTTGTCTTTATTTGACCATTTAAGTTCTTGTGCAAAACAGACAAAAAACTTCTTCATTATTTTCCTCATTCTAGATATTGAGTTTTCATCTTTAGTAATTCAGTACTTAAGAAAGAACTACTGTATTCCCACATGTATAAGACACACCCTTTTTCAAAAAATGTGGGGTCTAAAAGCTGGGTGCGTCTTATACAGTGGTTATATGAGTGCAAAAAAAAGCAAGCACAAAAAAAGTGGGAAATGCAAGTAAAAAAAAATCTACAACCACTGTAGAACCTTACAGTTTTAGAAATTGTGATAAGTGTAAAAGAAATTTTTAGCTAAAGGGGTGGGGAGATGCACCGTTTGCTAAAAGGCTGGGGTATGTCTGGTGAGCTTGCCTGGAGACATTGTATTCTGCCTGTTCAAGTTGAGGTCCTGCCAATTCTCAGGATGCCCTGCATATTCATATCTCAGTGGGGATTCCCAGACACCTGTAAGTTTTGGGTTTGCATGCTGCTTTCTGCAGCTGGCCAGGCAGGCTTCATTTCATTACCGTCTGGTTTTGTAGTTGTTGGGAAACTGCATTTAACTTGCCTGCTGTGACTTGGTGGATATGACCTTGCTTTCATGCTGTGCCATGACCTTGCTTCAGGTAGAGAAGCAGTATAAAGAATGGAATATTAAGTATGTCCTTGGATTGATTAAGGTGTGATGGGAACCAGTCATGCTGGCTGCTCTGTAGAAGGTTGTGGGAACTTGTTCCTGATAAACGGAAAGGTCATCTGATGAGAAATGGCACCAGTGGTTTGTGTTAGGGTGGAAGAAAGCAGTGAAGGTGGAGCTGTTGTGAGGATTTGGGAAGACCTGACCCAAGGTTTTGTCAAAAATTGCCAAGCAGCAGCAAGAGACCTGCTAAGGTTGAAAATCTCAAGGGTGTGGTGTGATCTTTCCCCATTCCTTCAGCATGACTTGCTACTCTAGATGTATGAGTGGAGGTGGCTCACTATCGAGAATGGGATGCTGGGGTGACAACCATCCTGCTTTTTCCAGCACTGAGAAATTTTCTGGGACACGGGACTTTTAGTGCTAAAACTGGAAAGTCCTGACAAATCAGGACCAGTTGGTTACTCAAGGTGTTGCAGAACTGGTGGTCAGGAGGCAAAAGGGTAAGAGAATTGAGGGTGTTGGCAAAAGGATGTTGGCATATGGTCTAGGTCCAGTATGGGGAGAAAGGGAAGTGGGCTATTACCTGGTAGCATCTTATGAAATTTTATTCTTTCGTTTGTTCGTTCATTCATTCATTCATTCATTCATTCAACCAATACAAATTGAGTGCCTACTATGAGTCAGGCACTGGGGTCTGCACAGAGGATTTAACTAAAAGGATACAAATGCCCTTATGGACTCCTGTTCTGTGGTGGATCGGGACCATTGGTGCTCAGAACCCATTCTCACCTCTGTCCAGAGGGTGGAAAACTATAGACTGTATTTCCCTGGGAGTTTTGTTTTGTCAGGTGCATTCATGCAAGATTTATATACAGAAGTGAGGTGGAGGCCAATAGCTGGCTGATTTTCTTAGTTTCCCTGCTGGCAGGCATGGTGGTGGTGGTGTGGGGATTTGGGCAGCAGTGTTATGGTGTCCAGTCACCAGATTTGTCGGTGTTGGAGTTAAGTGTGGTGGTGGGTCGCTTTCTCATCTCTGGGTCACTGCTGTGCAGGTGCTCTTGAGCTCAGTGCTCCCAGGGGCGGCCTCCTGATTCCTCACTGCCCTGGCTGAGAGACATGTCTTTCTGGGAGCCCCAGGAATGGTTCTCAGAAGCCCAGCCAAGAGCCCCTTCCTCTAGCCCTTGTATCAATTTTGTAAGCATACATATTAAATGCATTTCTGCTGAAAATACCTGGAGTGGTTTTTGTTTCTAGAACATGACATCCCTTTCTATTAGCCAATGCTGTGGAAATTAATTTTGGTAACTTAGATTAGCTTTGTTTAGTGTTTGAAATAATTGGTAACTGTCCCAAGACTTCCCCTGGAGAAATGAAACTGGAACTTATTTTAGTTTTGAAATGGTGACTGGGATGGATTTTATGTGGGTGTGGAAAAAAGGAAAGGAGTAGTTATTAAGTTAAAATTTGACAGTGATTGGAGGAAAGAGAAGGGGAATTCCTTAAAAATTTTTTAAAAGTACAAACAGACTCCAGTTTTGTCTGGCTAGCAAAGGTGAAATGTCTTGTGGGGTGAAACAAAACTAACAGAATGTTGATCACTTGGGAGGAATGGGTATTTTAACCCTACCAGACCGCTGTACCGATTTTTCGGTAATTTCTAATCATATCTTATCTAATCATATCTGTGTTGTGTGCATGGAAAAGCACTCCAGGTACAACAAGCAAAATCCTGGAGTGTCTTACCAAGACAATCCATGCAAGAAGGTGAAGAGCAACATCTGGTGCTCACTTTGCAAGAAGTACCTCTGTGCGAAACAAGGCTTATCCTGCTGGGTGGATTGGCACACAAAGGTGGAATATTGGCGCTAGATGAAAGGTAGACCTATTTTCTACAATGTCTCCAAGTTCCATCTTATTCTAACCTCTTGTTTGCATGTAACTAACATTTTTCTATATCATGTTGGTTTTTTCTCTTTAATGCTCAGGAGCCCAGGTATAGGGGACAGTTAGGTTCAGGGCCTCAGGTCTGGTAGGGTTAAAGCAGGAAAGAAAAAGAATTGGGCTTGGATAGCCCCATTGTCTGTCACCTGAGTGAGGTGAAGCAAGTGACTTCAGAGGAGATGCTGAGCAGGGCAGCTCAGGCAGGGCAGGGCTGGTAAGTGGTGGGCACTGCCCTTTTACAGACCTCTAAAGAACTCATTCTACCTGCCACCACCCCTTCTCACCCCCTCTTTCTTCTCTTTTGACCTGTTCTTTTTGAGAATAACTTTGGAACATTTCTAGGCTTACTTGTCCTAAGGTTTGTCTGTATCTACACCAAGGAAGCTCTAAAAGCATTTGAATACTGTGAGATAGTTTCTATATAAGTGTGGAAGAGATAGAAACTAATTTTTCAGTTTAAAAACCTATAGGGTTTTCTTTTGACTTACTGTTGTTCTCTAATTTTATTGCACTGTGGTCAGAGAATGTGGTGTGAGGTATATTTATTTTTAGTATCTGTGTACCTGTTGCTCAGCTTATGAAAGAAATTATTACAAATTCAGTCATTTTCCCTCTGTATTTTTATCTAGTTATATTCCACTCATCCTGTAATGGAAACCAATTCAGTATTTACTATCACTATGTTTTAATATTTTCACCACACACACACACACACACACACACACACACACACACACACACACACACACTCACACACTCACACACTTCCAAAACAATATATAGTATTATTTTTAACATTTAGGATTTTAATGCATACTTTAGCAACTTGCTTTTTGCCCAGGCAAAAATATTTGTTTTGCTGTTTTGCTTTTTGCTTGTTTGTGAGATTCATGTAGTTCTAGTTCATTCATTCTCAGGGCTGTATATTATTTTCATTAATGGACTATAACATTCTATTCAATCTTTGATAGACTTTTAGATAGTTTCCATTTTTTGCTATAACATTTATTGCTGCTTGGAACATTGTATATGTGTTTTGGTATACCAATCTGTGTTTTTTTTTAAAGGATGTTTATTTAGGAATGAAATTTTCATGTCATGGAGTAATATATGTTTTTATCTTTACCAGATATTGCCAAATTGTTTTTCAAAGTGGCTGGACCAATTTTTAATTCCTCCAGCAATGTATAAGATTTCATATTTCTCTGTATTTTCTATGGTATTTGGTAACAGATATTAGTACTTGACTAATGTGAAATAGTATCTCATTGTAGTTTAAATTTGCATTTTTCTGACTACTTGTGACTTGAACATATTTTCACATGATTAGTGGCTATTTGGGAGGTTCTTGTAGATTTTCTTCTAGAATTTTATGTCTTGGACTTTCGTACATATGGAATGTGGTATGAGGCAAGAACCCCAGTTTACCCCCTATCTATCTGAATAACCAGTTGTCCCAGCACTGTTTCTGGATGTTAATGTTCTTTCCGTATTGACTTACAGGGCCACCTCAGTCATCTGGGTGTGGACTGATTTCCAAGCTCTCATCTGTGTATTTGTTGTTTTGTTATCTATCCCTGTGCCATATTACTATACATTTATATTAAATCTTGATATCTAGAAGTTGGTTTGGGTTTAAAAGACACCCCAACAAAATAGTGATTATTTGGATGCAACCCTACCTCTTTCTTCCATACTCCCCTTTCGTAAGTGCCTATCACCTCTAGTCACAGTTAACTGCCCCCAACACTATCCCAATAGATACACACTGGTATTTTGCTGCATCCTGTTGGCCTGGCTCAACACGGGATCTGTAGTTTTCCTTTCGCAATTTTCTGTGAATATGCCAGATGCTACCACTGAGTAATTTGGATTTTGCTGCCAAACTATACCCCCATTAGGACAGAGGAAAGACAGCATGCCAGTTCTTTTGCTTAGTGTACATGACTGGCAGAAAATAGTCTTGCTGGAGGAAATGAACTGAGCAGATAATGTTTTTTATTCTTTATTTATTTATTTATTTATTTTATTATTTTTTTTTTAGCTGAGCTCAGCGGCAGCTCAGCTTGGGCTGGGAATCAAACTGGTGACCCTGTTGCTCAGAGCTCGTGCTCTTGAGTGAGCTCTTAACTAACTGAGCCACTTGGCTGGCCCTGAGCAGATAATGTTTTTAAAAATGATTATCTAATTTTGTTAACTGTTGATGACATTGTTATATCATTGATAATTATGAATTACAAAAGTTAGATTACTGTTTTTAGGGAGTTGAACATTTAATTTCTCATAGTTCTATTTGTTTTTTTGGTTTTTTTTCAGATGTCTGGCGACTTTGGATAATATCTCATTTCTTATTCTTATGTTTAATTATCTCTTGTTATTTCATACTTTCTAGTGTATATAAATATTTTATAGGTTAATTTATAATAACAACTGCGAACAATACTGTGACTTTTAGTGAATAGAAAAAGAACTTGACCTCCCTTCATGGAAACTAATGGCTACATTAAAGTACTGTTGCCTGTGAGTGGAGTATAGAGTTATGCTTTCTGGAACACATAAAATTAAAATTCAGCTTTCAGACTAAAAAAAAATAAAGTAGTCTGAGTACTAGTTATTTTTTACTTTCATTGAGCAATAATTTAGTAAATTTCATTACTCTATAGTTATTCACAAATGGCCACATTTAAGTGAATTTTGGATGAATGGGCATGGGATTGGCATAGACACATCAATACTTATTAATACATATACACTGGATAAAATGTCTATTTTTGTTAAGAGCTCACACATTTAGACTGGTTATGGGAGACCAGTGTAAAAGGTATGATGAATGAATGGTCTGTTTTAAAATAAAATATTTAAAAATTTTAAGAAATAAAATTGAAAATAAATGTAATGTTATTGCTCTCATTAATGAGCACTAAAATACTCATTCATATTTTAATTGGAACATTAGGAAAATTGTGCTTCCTCTAAGAATCTCTTTTGCTTTTCTTCTCTCTGACAGCAAGAACTACATTTTTAATGTCCCATATACCCTTTTTGCTTTGACTGCCAGGAAGTTTAGGGACTAATTCACAGCCTATTAAAATTTGTTTAGGCCTTTCTGGCCTGCATATTTGCATTGTGTTCTCCAACCTTACACCCCATTTGACTTTCTAACCTAAATTTTCTCCTTGTTCTCATGTAAGATTTTTTTGTACTTATTTGTTTTTATTGTAAGATGCCTCAAAGCTTTTATGAACTGAGATTGTATATAAATAAAATAGATTATTTATAAATAAGTAAAATAGATTCAGTGTTCATTTTACTAATATAGTTAGATAAATATATAAATATACTTGTATGCAAATACACAGCAACAGTTAGCAACTTGCCATTGGGTTGTGTTGCCAATTACTTGTTGCTAAGAGTAGCTTTTAACCTGAAATGTTCTCTGGTAGAATCAAAGTACTCTCGTAGAACAACACAAAAACTTATTTAATGTAAAATATAGGTATGAAACTTTACAGTGAACAGTGATTGCCATTTGCAACTTAATTTTTAAGAAAAAATAGGTTGAGTTCCAATGGATGAAGTTAAGAATATACTCATGGCATGACCTCCCCACCACTCCCACCCCGTCCCATCCCAGGACTGAGATCTTTCCCTGCATGCCCTGTTCCTCTTCCTTCCTTCCACTGATACCATTAGGAACTCTAGTGATAATTGCTGCCCTTCAGCAGTATATTGAGAGTCAGGGGCCTCTGGCACTTCCACAAGGGGTCCCCCAGGTTCTAAGAGCATTCATGATGAATCTGTGAAAAAGGCCTGTGACTTTGGGAGGATGGCAGTGGAGATTTATGCTTACAGGTGTGAATGAGGGATTTTCAAGTAGAACAACTGAAAAAAGGTGGGGGGGTAGGAACAGATGCCTCTTTCTGCCATCATTTTTGATACCCCACAGAGGGTTCCTTTTGCCAAGACCCATATTTATTTAAGCCTACCAGAGCGAGGTCACCAACAGAGGCAGTTAACCCTGTGACACCAGTTTTTCTGGTCCAGGGCTTAGTCATTGGGCTTTTTCCTCTTCCTCCTATCAGGGTCATTCATTTGTCACTTAGTCATTAACCCACTGTATGATTTTTCCCCTTACCATACTATATGTTCTGAAATTCAGATAAAGCGTGTGGGCTTTTTGGGAAATAATTTGTGTATAGTTTCATTTCCTTTAACATGTAGGTTATCTTCTTTCTCTTGGTCATGGGATCAGTTGCTTTGTTTACTGAGGACCGCTTTCTGTAGACTTAACAACATGAATTTAATGTGCTAGGTTCAAGAAACCAATGAGAAAAGAAGAGACTGTACTTTGAATAGGCATAAATTACTTTGATGAGAGGATTTAAAAATTCCCTTTTAACCACAGAACACCTCCACTGGAAAGGATTCTGAAAGAAATGAAGAAGACCATCAGAAATGAAGTCAGTTGCCTCGTGGCCTTCTGTTGACTGGATGAGAGCCTTGTTAATACAGTTCTTTGCAACAACACTCTACAGCATGACTGCTGAGGTCATCCATCAGGTTGAAGAGGCACTTGATGAAGATGAGAAGGAGATGCTTCTGTTTTTGTGCCGGGACATTGCTGCAGATGTGACTCCACTTAATGTCAGGGACCTTTTGGATATTTTAAGAGAGAGAGGAATGCTGTCTGTCATGCACTTGGCTGAGCTGCTCTACAGAGTGAGGCGGTTCGACTTGCTCAAACGGATCTTGAAGATAGACAGAATGACAATGGAGGCCCACCTGCTCAGGCACCCTCATCTTATTTCGGACTATAGGTAATTCATGAGCTCTTTCTGAGGCTGAAAGGGAATGAGGTGATCTAGACTTCCGAATGAGAGAAACAAAGACAGTAAGAAAGGCAGCCTTATTATTTTCTGTATCCACTGATCCAGCTGCTGTATAATGTTACTTTATCTCTTTGAACTCTTCGAATTCTTAGATTGAATTTGTTTAAAGTAATTGGGCAGAAGATCATAATGAAAGTTGAAAGGATGGATGGTATCTGTTTGCCTGATAGTAGAGTGAGAGACATAGAAATGATTAAGAGCTAGTAAGTCTTGCCAGCCTCTGATTGTGAGATCAGCAGTGGTCTTTGCTAGCTTGATTTTCCTTGCTGTCATCAGACCATGGTAATTTTTGGTACTGAGAAAGGAAATAACAAGTCTGATAAATGGCCTTTGTAGTAGAACTCTGTGATCCTTCCTGAACATCCCTGGTCTTTTCCTTGCAGAGGAAGCCAGTGGGGTGGGCTTCCTTTCTGTGAGTTCCTGTGAGGTCATTGCTTCTAGAGACCATGGAGAGTCCAGATTGAACATCTCTTCAGTTAACCGCCTGTAGCCCCCTTCAGTTCAGAGAGCACGTCTGTTGGAGTCCCCTTTAGTTCAGATAGCCTTTACGTTGTTCCTTCCTCCTGTTCACATAGTACTCTCTTGGCAGTTCTGGAGGGCACAGAAACCACCGGAAAGGCTGTTTCTGGGGAAAGGAAGAGAACTTGTACTCTTAAATTAGCAGTTCCTTTTCTTCAGACGACCAGCGTTTAGTTATATCAATAATGTATATTAAGAGATGATGTGTATTATTAAAAACTGTATTAAAAAGAGCTGAAAGCAGTGTGGGCCTTGGAAAGTGCCTGAGACTCAAGGTCTGAAGGCCTGTTTCAAGCCTCAGAACTGTCAGGTACAGGCTTTGGAGGCTGCGCCAGCCACTAACATTGGTTGAGCCTTCATTTTCCTACTTGTGAAGCTAAGAATTATAATACCTGACTTCACAAGTTTGTTTGTGAGGGTCATTTGTGCTCATTTAAGCAATTGTGCTAATTTAACATGGGAAGTACCTTTTAAAACTATGAAGCACTCTACAAATGTAATTGTAGTTACTGTTGATCGTCTTTCAGCTCTCTAACCATCATATAACATCACTAAACATTTTGGGGAGGCACCTACTGGGTTTTTGTAAGTTAGGACACTCTCTCCCTTTCCTGTTTCCTATATGGTAAGTGGAGGCAGTTTCTGAGGGCCTCTGGGCAGAAAGGCCAGGCCGTGGGAGGGGAGTGCTAGATTATTCATCTGTTCAGTGGGCCTTTTTGTGGGTTGACACGTGCCAGGTGTTTGGGAAGCACTAGAGCAAAAAAAAATGAAAGACTCTTCCATCCTCAAGACTCTATGAGAGTCTGATTGGGAAAACGGGCCTCTAAGCAGTGATGACAATTTCAAGGTAATAATGCTAACTTTATTATGGCCTGGGAGCTCCGCCAAAGCATGGTGATAGCTCCAATTGGAGCAGAGGTGACTGAGTCAGGAGGGGCTTTCTAGATCAAGACACCTATGGTCACAGTCCCCAAGGTCTAGATGCCTTTGACCCTTTGAGTTCTGGAGTGGGCTGGGATATCTAGGGTGTTACTTTGCTTTAGAGTCTTATGACTCAAAGTATGGTCCCTCTGTCAGCATCACATCAGCATCACCTGGGAGCATGTTAAACAGAGAAGACAAGATCACTTTGAATTCTATTTCTGTCTTCATCTTAGTCATTCATGTTCTTCACTTATTTCGTTGTAACTTCTGGGGGCGTTAGGGGATTCTTTAGGGAAGTTTTTATTCTCTGAGTTATTTTCAGAGCAGTTAGTTGGAAAGAGAAGTACCATCTCCTATTGAAAACTGGGGAAAAGATGAGTTTCCTCTTTGAGTTCTCTTAAGAGGTCTTCCTAGGATGTCTGTCTTATGGCAGAGGCATATTCAGATGGGGGTAAGAACTAGTCTTTTAGCCAATTTATTGGCACAGAGGAGGCGTAGGCTCTTAGTGTTCTCATGGGGACTAGTGTCTGAATTTACTAAAGCAACTTGTCTGTTTTATAGGGTTCTGATGACTGAGATTGGTGAAGATTTGGATAAAACTGATATGTCCTCATTACTTTTTCTCATGAGGGATTATATGGGCCGAAGCAAGATAGCCAAGGATAAGGTGAGTTTTCTTTTTCTTGGTTCATGCTCCCAAGAACCTATCAGAAGTTGGAGGATGCTTTATGGCGTGAACAGAGGGAAGCAAGCACTTGAGCAGGGAGACACACTGGGGATGAAAGCGGGAACTGAGAATAGTATGGATTTTTAAAATAATAACATTGATGGAGAGAAAATCTGTTTATGAATTGAAAGGAAATATCTTCTGTGTGATATCTTCTGGTGTGGCCCAGGGTGTTTCTTTCATCCTTGTATTTTATCCTTTATTTTTGTAAAATTCATAGGCCTGGCTTACACATCAGTTTTTCTCCCTGGTTTGACAGATCATCTGGGAGGGTTAGGCAGTTCATCTGCTTGTGCTGAGTAGAAACAGGTGGGAAGTGCTAGTCCATTCTCGTCTTGCTTTCCTTGCTCATTTATTTGTCCTCAGGTAGCTCAACGTCAGTGTGGAGTCATTAGGTTGCATGTGGAGATGGGGTGTGAGGCGGTCCTTGTGGTTGATATATCTGGGGAATGGCAGAAGTTGAGATTAGGGGTTGAAAACTAGGTAGGGGTGAAGATCTCAGGGATGTTGTGATTGCTTGAAAAGTATTTAAATTCCAGCTAATCCTATATGGTACTGCTAACCTAAGAACAAGCCAGGAAGAGCTCAGGTCTCTATTATATAACAATATGTCCTTAAAGGACCTGCCTTTGAGGACTCTGGTAAGTCATTGCTTGAGAATTTCCTCATGTTTCGCAATGATTGTAGTTTCTGAAATCTGGGAATACAGGGTGACTGTATACTCCCACTATCAAATGCAAAATGGAAAGGGAAATGAAAAAAAATAGAACTTTTTTTCTGGTGTCCCCTAATCAATTTATCACTCAATCATGCGTATAGATTTAATTAAATAAGTTTAAAAGTAAGGATAGTAGTTCAGTAACCAAATGTTAAACAGAAGGTAAATGAAATCAAAAGCAATACCTGTTTCTGAAGTATAGTTCTTTCCCAACCCCTATGGTTCAGGGTTAATTGACTAGTAAAATGCCCTAACCTTGTAATTTTGCCACCTCATTCCTGGAGTCAGAATAAGTTAGAACACCCAGTAATGTTTCAGGAACTTCAAAACTGTATCATTGGGATTTTTCTAGTAAAACCTTCTCCCCAGCTACCTTCTCTCCTCCTTTTTCAGGAAAGCCCTTAGAGTTTTTCAATATAACACCAACCTGATTTTTTGGAAGAGAATAAACTCAGGAGAATTTTACTGTATTTTTAGGGCCTGTTCTCTCCCCATACCCCTAATGACACAAAATGGCCCATGTGTCCATCCCCAAACTAGGTACAGGTGGGCCACCAAAAGGCTTCCAACCACCTCTTTGCTGAGTAAAATCCAGGCGTGTAATTTGCTGCTGGCCTTGGAGGGGTCTGGTTTAGCATTATTGAAGGTCTGAAAGGGCTCCTTTTCCTGTCACCTTTTCTTGTTGTTATAAATCACACGGCCTGAGGTTTGCATTTGGGACTTAACAGCCCTACTGACATTTGTTTCTTGTTGGTGGCTCTCTTAGAGCTTCTTGGATCTTGTGATGGAATTGGAGAAACTAAACCTGGTTGCTCCAGATCAACTGGATTTATTAGAAAAATGCCTAAAGAACATCCACAGAATAGACCTGAAGACAAAAATCCAGAAATACAAGCAGTCTGGTAAGCAGAATTTTGGCTTCTCAGTGGTCTAAGGAAAGTACCCTGTGCATAGTAGGTTTGGTTGGTAACGATTCATTTGTTGGGTGTGTGGATGGAATGGCACCTGAATGTCCACAGCTCCCACTAGAGTGTGATTAGAGATCATATCTCCTTGTATCCTTCATATCCCAGATCTGCTGACTTCATCACCCCACGCCTATGACCACAGAGTCTTGGCCCTCTGCAACATGCCACTAAGCAGTTCTTAATACTCCCACCTTCAAGAAATAGTCTGCACCAGGTGGAGGTGCTGTGGACATTCAGGACTTTTGAGTAGATGCTGAGCCCTGCTGCCTTGTTCCAGTGTTGACCTGACCATCATCCAACTCTGGGTGGTACCTTATCACTGAGGTGCCGTAGCTGCCCTGCAGGTGTTCTGAGTTTCACAAAATCTTCTCATGGAAAAGGGCATCTTTCCTGCTGATAACCCCTCCCTCCGAAAAGGGGACCAGATTCAGACTGGCCTTCTGTCACATGCCACTCCTGCCCCATTGTCTTTTAGATTCAGCCTCAGCATGGGCTCTGTTAGCAGTCCACTGCCACCAGAGTCACAGTTTCAAGGGCATGGTTGAGACCCAGTGATCTACAGACATCTTCCCCCGTCCCTGCCCTCTACCTCCCACACCTAAATGACTGATAAAAGGTCAAGTACAAGAGTAGAATTTTTAGATCTTTTTTTTTTTTTTAAAGATTTTATTGGGGAATTGGAGGAGGGGAACAGCGCTGGGGAATTGGGGGAAGGGGAACAGACAAGTTGCTGTCCTTTTGTTCTTCAGTCTAGTTGTGGAGGACTCGCTTCACTGGCCCATGTTGGTATTGTGATCAATGTGCTCTTCCCGGCTGAGGCAGATTGGTCACTGGCCATTGGATGGCCGCTCACGCTGGCCTCATGGCAACTCACGTCAGCTGCCGGCTGTCACGCTGGCTGCCGACCACTCAATAGCTGACGGCAGCCCACTGCAGCCCCACTGCAGCCTACGCCATCGCTAGCGACTCATGGCAGCCCAGCTCCAGGTCGAGCTGTTGTTCACCATCTTAGCTATAGAGGGCACGGTGTCACTGGCCCATGTAAGATCTGAACCGGCGGTCCTGTTGCTCAGAACTCGCACTCCCAAGCCAACTCTTAAACAACGAGCCACTTGGCTGGCCCTAGTCCATTCTTTTTTTTTTTTTCTCTTGCTTGGTGTTGATTTAAAGAGTACTTTTTTTTTTTTTTTCTTTTAGCTGAGCCATCCTGCCACCTATTGGCAGCTCAGCGGCAGCTCAGCTTGGGCTGGATGGACTTGGACTGCTGTTGCTCAGAGCTCAAACCCTTGAGCGAGCTCTTAATCAACTGAGCCACTCGGCCGGCCCTCCTAGTCCATTCTTAATGATGCTGGTGGAAGAGTCATCTGATCTGGTATTTTGAATTAAGTAAGATGGCTGGAAAATTGAGGGTATTTTGAAAGATGATGATTGACCCTGTACTGAGCCATTGTTGAAGATTCATTTGATAATAATTGGTAAATTTGAATTCAGTACCTCTCTTCTGCTTACAGCTCAAGGAGCGGGAACAAGTTATATCAGTGCTCTCCAGGCATCTCTCCCAAACTTGAGTCTCAAGGATCCTTCACATAACTTAAGAGTAAGTCTGAAGCAAATGTATGGAATCCCAGCATGAAACAGCTTCAGAACTTTGATTAAAAATATACATATCCTCACTTATACACCTTTTATAATATCTGAAAAAAATTGTAATAGAAATGGGCATTTGTCTTTAAAATATATATAATATCTTATGATTACAAAGCTAACATTGTCCTGATCTGAGAATTCTTCGGAATTATTCCATGTGAATCCTATGAAACTGCCTCCATTTAATCATTGTTTTTAATAGTTGAGCGTGGTTCTACTTTCTAGATGTATAATATGTTTAGCCTTTTCTTGTGTATATGTATTTAGATTGTTTCCAGTCTTTTGTTATTAAAAATAGTACTTCAAAATAAATATCTTTGTATTTACCTCTCTGAGCATTTGCTTATTTTAATAATTTCAGCAAAACATTTTTGTTATCGAGAGATGTTATTGATTTGTGAACATAAATATCACATAATCACTTCTGGTTGTTGTGTTAGTAGATGGTGCAGTGTCCTCAGAGTTATTCTTTAGTTAATTTTTGTATCTTGAGAATCTCATCCTTAGTGTAATCTCATTCTTATCGCTATCTAAAGATATGTGGAATTTGTAGTGAGGACTTAGACCACAGTGCAATTTCATGGTTAAATTATAAATGCTTTCATAAAAGTATGTGATGAAAACATTAACTATCCCTATGATATAGTTTCATGAGGAACATGAGTTATAAGAGATACCATTGAGCAATAGAATTTCAGAGCAAAAATGGATGTTAAGGATTATACTGTGCAGACCCCTTATTGAACAAATAAGGAAAGTTAGGCCTAAAGAACATTGTTTGCCCACCTCCAACTATCACCAGAACTGGGCCCAGTCCCTGGTTTTTCCTCCATACCATGGCATGCCATAGCTTAGATATAGCTATCATTTTCCAAGAATCAACTATGTTTCTTTTGTCCTTCTGAACCTCTTGATACCAAATCATGAGACAAACTTGATTTAGGATAGAGATCCAGATTTTCTGAGCTTTCATTGCTATTGCCTATCTAATATGAATTATACTGCCATTCTTAGTTAAAAGCCTGTTGTATTTTCACTATTGCTTTTCTATTTTGTTAATGAAAGTAATTGTGTTCATTGTCTATGAAGCCTATTGGGAACCAACATGCTCTGTGTGTAAACTTCTCCTTAAATTTGCTGTATTAATCTGTGACCCTGTTCATTCATTCATTTAGTAAGCAGGCACCGTGGCATATGAATTCAGTGAATTTCTCACAAGATTTAAGAGCCAAATACCCGGATGTTAACTCATACAAGGATACAAAAGTGCTTAAAAATTACAGCAGCAAATGACACATGACACCAACATATTATAGAATAAAAAAATTCTATGACTGCAGTATGATGCTTTTCAAATCTAGCTTTGCTTCAGTGTTATATGTCCTTAATACTATGTAAAAGTGAATGCACACCCATGTGGGGTTTGACCTTCTAATATCGTCAGTCACTGGTTATTAGTGATAAAAGCAACTTATATGTTTTTCTTTAATTAGACACACAGACTTAGCTACAGACACAGCTTAATGAACAGTTTACTTCTCTCTTTTGGCTAGGATAGCTTCAGAGGAGAACTGTCATTTGAAAGCTGAGCGTATCAGATGGTTGACAGTATGTGGTATGTGTACCTCTTACACAGGACCTGACATCTGAGAAGAGAAAGGGTCGGTTCAATCTTTCGTTCTCTGATTCATCAATCCCACTGTAGCCCTCAGAAGTGGTAGCTATTTTCAAGAATCAAGCCCACATGTGGCTTATGTATAGCTAGGCAATTATAGAAAAAAAATAACTGGGCATGTATTAAGTACTTCCATGTGCTAGGTACTGTGCTGAATGCTTTGTATACATTTAATTTTCACAAAAATTTTATAAGGTGGGTACTATTATTATCCTCATTTGGAAGACAAGGAAACAGACATATAGAGGTTAAATAGCTTGCTTGAGATTACACAGCTAGTAAGTGGCAGAATTGGGATTCATAGCCAGGTTTGTCCGGGCTAAAACTCCCACTGTTAACCATACATTGCCTCTATGTTAAAGGATTCGGTTGAAGGTCAATTGCATGTTCCAACAGCTTGTTCTGTCTTGGAGCTCTTAAAACAACTCTACTACACCATAACATCTGACTTTATTCAGCTGTTTTGAAACATTCTAATATGTTAGTTTGGCACATTTTCACGTTCATTGTATTTTCAGAGTTGCCTTGTTTCTTTGTAGAATATAGGATTCACAGAGTTAATGGCTCTTGCTATTCTTTATATAATTTAACAGTGAATGTGATATTTTTAATTTTTTTCCTGGGGAAAAATCCTATTAAGATATTTAAAGAGGTGTAATATAATGTGACTGAAAAAACTAACAAGGAATGTGACCTTATTCTTTATATTTGAAGCTTCAGAATGGGAGAAGTAAAGAACAAAGACTCATGGTCAAACAACTTAACGTTCAAAGTAAGACCCACTTTTCTTTATGTTCATTCTTTATAAATGCTTGATAATTCCAGTATAAAATGTTGCATTGTTTGAGTTGGCCATTTCCGTTAAATACATATCCTAATTAAGCTCTCAAAATAAAAAGCCGTTAAAATCTTAAAATGTATTCATTGGCATTTCTAGTTATCTATTGAATTCACTTATTTGGATTTAAATGCCCCTTACTCCATCAGCTTCGTTATCTTGGCTATATAAGTTTTTAAAGATAATTTTTATAAGAGTTTACTTGAGCCAAACTGAGGACAATGTCAGGAAGCAAGATCTCAAATGTTTTCTTGGCCATATTTTTAAGAGATGTGACATTCCTACCTGAAATGGACTAACCAGGCCAGTTTGAACATCAATCTAGCCATGATAATGAGCCATGTTAAACCAAATATCGAGCATCAGGAAGAAGAAAGGCTACTAGGATTTTGTTTTCTAGCCCATTTAATAAATCTAGATACTCTGCAGATGACATCCCCTCTCTCCTAAAAAGAAAGAAAAAATACAGTAAAAAAACTAGTCATTGCAACCCATATGATCTCTCTCATCCCTCTTAAAACATCAGCACTCGATCCCATCAGTTTTAAAAAGTGTTATTTCTTTTGCTTGTCTTGAGTCCTCCTTGAAGTGAGGGCTGAGACTCAGTCTCACACTGCAGTGGAGGCCGGGGTTGATAGGCAGATAAGGAAGGCTCAGCCTTACCTGAAGAGTTTGGACTTTGACCTGTGTGTAATGGGGATTGGGAACATTGTGGGTAGGGCAGTGGCCAGATGGAAGCCTTCTTTGTGTGGCAGCCTATATGCTATCTGCATGCACCTGGAAACAGAAGCCTTTTGCCCACATGAGCCAGAGGGTGCAGCTCACGCCTGTCCTTCCCCACCTAAAAGTCCTCTCCCCAGCAAGAGCCATTGAGAAGTGAATTACTTCCTGAAGTAATTACTTTCAGACAGTCTGTCTTTTAAAAAACACCCGTAAGGCTATGAAAGCTATTTAAAGGGAAAATTGGAGACCTGGTAGATTTGTAGATTTGGATAGGAATTAAAAACAACTGGTGTTCTTTCTGTTGTGATCCCTGTTGCAGGCTTGTTAGATAGGTGAGGTAAGTGAGTCTCCCGCATGTCCCTAGTGACCCTTATGAGAGCTATTACCAGCTTTTGCCTGGACATGGTTTATTTGCCAATAAAAGGAAAAAAGCATTCTGATAACTTTGCTTTAATCTAATACAAGTTTAAAATAATCAAACCAAGTATTCATATTAATTTGGATTTCCAAATAGATTTCAGCTGAATGATGATGATAACTACAATTTATTAAGCTCTTACTAAAGGCTTTAAACTGAGATAGGCGTATTACATAGATTATTTTGTTTTTTTTTAATTCTGTTAATCCATGATTACTAAAATACAAAAAGATAAAGTGAAACTTCCTTTTAATTCCAAGTATCAGACATAACCAGTCAATGTTTGATTTATATACCTCTAGACTCTTATTTTTAGCATATAGATGTGTAAGTATATGCACACAAATACATATTTTTAAGTACATTGTTCAATATAATCATACATATTATTTAGTAATACATTTTCAGTTAATATATCCTGCATATCTTTTCACGTCAGGTATCCTTTTTAATATTGCATAGTATTCCATTATATGTACATTAATTTATTTAACCTGTTTCATGTTGGCAGCTTTCTAGTTTCTTTCTAATGTGGGGCCGTTACAAACAGTCATTCAGTAGATGTCATTCTTGACATTTTTAAACACTGGCTCTATTATTTCCTTAGGATAAACTTCTCGAAGCAGAAATGGTTTAAAGGGCATTTCTTATTGTCATTTAAAAAGACCGTTTCAACTTATACAGTAGCCTTAGCATTCGAAAGTGCTTATGTCCCCCAAACCATACCAATACATTTTTTATGCTAGTCTTTAGACATTACTTTTAATTTTTGCAGCAGTTTTATAAAGTAGATGTTGGTATGTTCATCTTAGAGACTTTTAAAAAATACCCTGAGACTTCTGGAAGAAACTTGCTCCAATCACAGAGCTTGTCAGTGATGCTGTTAAGGTTTGAGCTAGCCTTTATGGCTTCAAAACTGGTGGTTTTTCTATCTCCCTGAGCTAATTAATTAATAAAGTCATTTTTATGTAACAAAATGTGCTTCAGGCTCATCTACTTTGTAAACTGTCCCCTATCTTGCCACTGACATTTTATTTTATAATCTCCCAGTATCACTGGACTGAGAAAACATGGCCATCTGTTCAGCCTCTAAGGCTGTTCCCTTGGGTGTTGTCTAATTTTAGCACATGTAGGAAAGCTATTGCTATTGTTGGGTGATGAGGGTATTAGATTCTCCCAATCAAGTTGAAAACTCACCAGTCACCTGGTCCTCAGGGAGAGCCTTCCCTCACTTGCTATTTAAGCAGCTTTTCTATAAAACCTCTGTTTAGCACAGGAACTTGGGTTTCCTTATCAGTTAGGTTTTTCACTGTGAGGTTGGAAACTTGGGGCTGAGTATAGCTGAGGAAAGAAGAAATATAGGGTGAGGGAAATAGGGGAAGAGAACGGTTGTAAAATAAAGAAATTCAGCCAGCATAGGAGTGGCTTAGTTCTTTTTCAGCTTTGTAAGTGATTTCTCTCTCATCCCTAGGAGAACCAGTGAAGACGTCTATTCAAGAATCAGAAACATTTTTGCCTCGGGTACAGAATAAATGATCTGATTTGTTTTTGTATTGTATGCACAGTATCTGTGGAGAATGCTGACTTCTTTAAAAATATCTGTCCATTAAGAATTTTTTGTGACAATAGGATTTTGAGAGTGCTAAAGTTTTCTCCTGAGAACTCTTCTAAAGGGGAACCTTGGATAGCAAAGAGAAAAATGAAGTGGATTGCATTAGTGAACTTTGGAATGCGGGAAAATTTCAAAGTGGCACTTCTCTTTTCAGCTGAGTGATTACTCAACAAATAAGTAAGCAGTGACACTGAACCTTGACTTGTGTCAATAGAAGGTCTCCTTTTGTACTGGTTTAGACAAGCTCAGGTTACCGAGGAAATATGTGATCCATCTTTGCTCTCTGTTTCAAATTTTCAAATTATCTTTATCCTGCAAAGCTAAGACACATGTAAAGAGACTGCAGTTTTCATTAAAATTAAATAAAAACTGAAATAGTTTGTCTTACGCACGTTACCTGAACAGAGGAAAAATTTGATATTAGGGAAATGTCAGCTGTGATGACTTCTAAGAGTGACTCATCTGACAAAGGGATGTTTAAGGAAATTCAAAAGAAAAGATGTAGGTGGTACACAGGGTAGGTGGTACCCTGTGGAAACATCAGTCTCCAGAGTCTTTCTTTAACAATCCTACTTTCCTTTCCAGCACATACCAGAAGAGAGATACAGGATGCAGAGCAAGCCCTTAGGAATCTGCCTGATCATTGATTGCATTGGCAATGACACAGGTAGGTGTGAATGCTATAGATTAACTGATACACCCACAGTCACAGCATAGGCAAGCTGTATTCATCAGAGTGATTAATGTTAGCTGCTATGACAAACCATTGCTAAAGTCTGTGATTTCAAACAATAAAGGGGAATTTCTCACTCAGGTCACAATCTCTTGTGGTTTGGGCTGGGGAAACTTTATTTCATGTGGTCATTTAGTGACCTCATCGTCTGAGGCCTTGGAGTTTTCCCCAGGATCCTCTGTATCTGGCTGGTGGATGAAGGAAGTTGTAGAGGATCTCACAAAAGATTTTAGGAATGCGTTATTTTCCCGCACATCCTGTTGGGCAGAACTCACTCATGTGGCCCCACCTAATCCCAGTGGACAGGAATTTAGCCTGTGTGGAGGAAACTGAAAGGAGATTTGGGAAACATGTAGTATTAGTATGTCTGGCACAAAGGCATAATTTGTGAAACTCGGTGAACTTATGTCTTGTCTTTCCATGCTGGATGCTGCAGCAAGGAGGAGTCCTGGGACTTAGAGGGACATTTAAAATGGAAGCCTTTCTGGCTTCAATATTATCAGATGCCTCATCATTTCTTCCACACAGATGATGAAAACTCTTCTGGGGACTATTAAAAATATGATAAATGTGTATTCCCTAAAGGCAGTGTGTTACTTAGTTCTGCCACCCTAAATCCTGCCAACTAAAGTTGTTGGCCCGAGTCTGTGCTACTTGGGTGTCACCATTGTTTGACTCTGAATTGATTCTTTTGCCCAGTTGTTGATGGATGTCTGACTCAAATGGAATCAATCACTGTAGATACATCAAAAGAGAATGAGAAGAATCTAGATAAGTGAAATAACATTAAGTTTAATTATTTATCTTTTCCTTGAGAGGATTGATCATTATATTTCCACTTTTTTTTTTTCAAAGAATTTTATTGGGGAATTGGAATGGGAACAGTGCTGGGGAATTGGGGGAAGGGGAACTGACAAGTTGCTGTCGTTTGTTCTTCAGTCTAGTTGTGGAGGATGTTTCACTGGCCCAAGTTGGCACCATCATTGTGCTCTTCCCGGGCGAGGCAGATCAGTCACAGGCTTCTGGACGGCCGCTCACTGCGGCTGCTGGCCGCTCACGCTGGCTGCTGGCTACACACGATAGCCCATGGCAACCCACTGCAGCAGGGGCTGCAGCCCACGCCATCACCGGCGACTCACTGCAGCCCAGCTCCAGGTTGAGCTGTTGTTCAGCATCTTAGCTGTGGAGCTCAGTGTCACTGGCCCTCATATGTGGGATCCGAACCGGGGCCCTCTGGCGTCCCAAGCCAGCTCTTAACCAACGCCCCACTCGGCTGGCCCTTTCCACATTCTTTTAGAATGAGTCAGAGCTATATTTTAGACTCACTTAAAATGTTACTGTGATGAGATTTATGGGAAGAGAATCTAACAAGTTAAATTAGCAAATATTAGGCTGGATGTCCCAGGATTTCAGATAAGATGTCACTTTCTTATGTCCTATTTTGGGTTAGATTGAGAAATACTGTCTCCTCAGCTATAGATACGTTTCCTTCCTTTTCTAGCCACAGTCCCCATATAAGTATGAGGAAAATATTTTCTCAACGAGTTACTTCCTGCTTTAAAAGAGGCTGTGTAATTGTATTGTACTTTCTGTTGTAATCGGTTCTGTTTCATTCATTAGCAATTCCCAAGTGTACGTGGTGCAGGATGTGTATCTGTTGTATGAAGGGAATTATAATGCCATGCTCTGCTGTGAATTTATGCCTAAAATCCAGTGTCTGCTTGCTTCCCTTGCTGGGTTATGGGCCTCTTGTGGGCAGGGACTGAATGCATATTTGTATTTTCCTGTATTTCAGGAGCGTGGTCAGAGTTCACACACGACTACATGGGTGTGAATCATGGCTCTGCCATGTCCTAGCTTGTGACCTTGGGAAATTTTCCTAGTCTGTCTATGTCTCTGTTTTTTCTTCTGTAAAGTGGGTTATTAACAGGACCTACTTCATAGGGAGATTGGGAGGGGTGAGTGCGTTCATTCTTGTAAAGGGCTCAGAGCCGTGTGTGGCACACTCACTATAAGCACTATAAATACTAGCTAACGTTATTTTTCCATTTTGTTTGTTTAATTTTAGCTGCAAACCACTAAGCTAGAACTTGCATAGCTTTGTGCTTGGTACATGGAGTCTGATCACAGATAAGCGAGGCATTAGAGAACTGGGGGCCTGAGGCCTGGGCTGGGCTTTGTGGAGTTGGGCAGGTCCCCACAGGCTGGAGCTAAGTGGATTGGAGGGGATGCCCCAAGAGGTGGTAACTTCTGAGGAAATACCCAGGCGGAAATCCAGACAGACCTACCAGTCATCAATATGAATGGGCTTGGCAGAGAAAGAGATGCTGAGTACAAAGGCTGGGGCAAGAGAGGGCAGGAAATGGCAAGACCTGATAGGTGAGAAAGATAGAAAGGAGGGTAGAACTGGAGTTGGAGCGCCTGTGGCACCTGTGTCTTTGGCTTGAGGTAAGAGCAGGTATTGGCTTCCGGTGCATTTGTATGTCTGCTTCCTTGACTCAAGCCCTCCCTGCCTCTGGAAACAAAAGGAATATGTGGGCTTGAGGCCACTTGTACACTCGCCCTGGGCTCAGGTGGCCAACTGACAGCTGCGAAACAAGACAGCACACTTTACTCCCACTGTGTTATGGCTTTTATCAGCTGAGTGGTACAGAATCTATTATATGCCCAGCTGAGACGCAGAGCAGCAGGAGAGGCTTAACTCATCTGAAGAGGAAGGCACTGTCTCCTTTTCTCACACACTCTCTCGGCCTCCATCGCTTCACTTTCCCAACTCCCCTCTTGGTGATTTTTCACGGAGGACTCCAGGCCTGGGTTCCTGATTTTGTTGACAGTAGCTTTAATTAAGTGCGGCACTCTTCGTGTCTTCATTTTCACCTGAACAGCGTGAGGTGCTTCATCTAGAGCGATTATGTGGGGTTTCCATTGTCTCTTGCCTGGTTAACTTCGTCATTTGGCTGACACTGAGCATTTAGGAAGAGTGTAGGAGTCTGGTAATAAAACCTTATTGCCCGGCCGGCCGAGTGGCGCGATGGTTAAGAACTGGCTTAGGGCCCCGGTTTGGATCCCACATATGAGGGCCAGTGACACTGAGCTCCACAGCTAAGATGCTGAACAACAGCTCAACCTGGAGCTGGGCTGCTGTGAGTCGCCGGTGATGGAGTAGGCTGCAGCCCCTGTGGCAGTGGGTTGCCATGGGCTACCATGTGTAGCCAGCAGCCAGCGTGAGCGGCCAGCAGCCACAGTGAGTGGCCATCCGTCCAGAAGCCTGTGACTGATCTGCCTCGCCCGGGAAGAGCGCAATGATGGTGCCAACTTGGGCCAGTGAAGCCACGTCCTCCACAGCTAGACTGAAGAACAAAACAACAACTTGTCAGTTCCCCTTCCCCCAATTCCCCAGCGCTGTTCCTATCCCCCCAATTCCCCAATTTAAAAAAAAGATCTTTAAAAAAAACCAAACAAACATAAAAAACCTTATTGCCTACTGAAACAGGGGCTCTGAAAAGAAACTAACAGTAAATAACTTAGAGGTGGTAGCGATCAGAGTGTAAAATTTATTAAAGATCTATGGGCAAGGTACTTTGCTAATTCCTTTATGTGGATTCTCACTTAATCTTCATAAATAATACTGTAAGATAGGGACTATTAGCCCCATTTTCAAGGTGAGCAAGCAGAGCACAGTGAACTCACTCCCTAACTTCTCTAGTAACTGATAGAGCTGGGATTTGAAAGCTGGACTCCAAAGCCTGTGCTCTTAGCTACTTTGCTATAATGTTAGTCCCATGAGGGTGCGGAGCTTGTCCATCTCTTTTACAATGTGTCTTCAGTACCCGGGATAGTGCCTGGCACATAGAAGCCCAGTCAGTATTAGGTGGGTGAATGAATGAAGGAGTAAGCTCTTCTAGTCTCAGTGTGTTTCTAAAACCATGCCTTTGTATCTGTAGAATTTAGAAGACTCTTTTATACCTGTCCTCAAAAGAACAACAAAAAAATCAGACTTTTATAGGTTTATTCTTCCTTTATCCCATAAGTGTTTGTTGAGTACCTACTATGTGCAGAGCACCATGTTTTGCCCTGTGTGAAGCAAATTTGGAGGCTGTGAGGTGGAGTCTGTTCTCAGAGCCACATTGTGAACAAAGATAAGGTGATTACTTTTTGGTGGCTTGTTCTTGAGAAGAATCCTTATAGAGGTCAGTAACATCTTCTTGGAGCAGACAGAGAGGCTTAGGGATTTGGGGCTAATTATCTCAGTTTGGTAGAATTAAAAAATAAGTCCTGGTGTTGCGTTGTCTGTGTCAGTGACTTTGCAAAGTCAGGCCCCGATTCGTGGTGCCCTGATGTAAAGCTGACTTTTGATCTTGTTAGAATGGAGAATCGAATGACTCGTGTCACAGACAGATGGACTCTGGGCCTTGATCTAAAGGTCTGGCTGATTTGTAGGCTCCTAAATGAAAGAAGGTGTTGCAGATTTTAAGAGAAAGTGTTTCTTTCTCTCTGTTTTCTTCCTGGCTCTTTCTGAGAAGCTTGAACATTTTTCTGTACTTTTAAACCAGGCTAAGACTTCGATTTCTCTAGCAGATGCTGCACATTTTCCTTGAAAATCTTGACTAAGTAAACCTTCTTGTCTAACAGAGCAACAGAAGTCCTGAAAGCCTGTCGTAGTTTGGGGAGATGCTTTGCTAACAGCCCCGTCCTAACTGTATAGCCAGAAAAAAAACAAAACAACACAAAAACCAACCCTGTCTTTTCAGGAAGGTAGTTTGTAAAGAACAGAAGTTTTACAAAGGGCTAGGTCGGGAGTGGAGTTTCCAGGGTGAGTAGAATGAGAAGTGGGACTTCTGCAGTTCGTTGCTGTTTTACTTTCCACACCCAGCACCCAAGTTTTTCTTCCCCAATTTGCAGGAAAGGACAGGCAGTTACTGTGCTACATGGGC